CACATTCACATAGAACTGTCTTTCCTCCTTGAGTTTCTGTAGTTTGATCTGTTATGATCAGGTATTTTCCCATAATGCACTAATTCTTTCGTTCTGTTAACATTCTTAGGTTGAGACTCAACAGCAACGTGGCATGCGAAGACGCTGTCTTGTTTTTGAGGCAGCTGGGTACTCAAATAGGATTGTGCAGAAAGAATCAGTCATGGATCTGTCAGTCTCAACCTGCAAAGGGAAAAGCCCTGTACAGAATCACTCAAATCCAGGGAAAACTCCATCTCCACGTGTGTTGCGTGGTATAGGTCTACATTTGAATGCTCTTGCTTTAACATCGAAGGATAAAATGATCTGTCAGGATCCCATGTCATCTTTGGTTCCATCATCTGCAACTCAGCAGGAAGCGCATGGGAAGATGTTGTCTGCTGGAGAGAATTTCATTCACCCGGGTGGTGAACTTCTAGAACTTCAGATGGATGATGATTGTTCAGCTGGAGTTTTTCTTGGAAATGATCACGATTCAAGTCAAAGCAACAGCCCTCAAAAGAAGAGGTCTGTTTTATTGATTTGATTTCCTTCTGGAGGTTTGCGTCAAAAAAAAAAATCCTTCTGGAGGGTGACAGGTGCTACTATGTTCATTGTATTCTGATAACTGATATAACTTTTGTTGATGTGCAGGCGCAAATCAGATAATGGAGATGATGGTGAGGCATGCAAGCGCTGCAGCTGTAAGAAGTCAAAGTGCTTGAAACTGTGAGTTCTGATTCGCTGCTAAGATTTAGTGTTCCTAATTACATGAAGAGGTTTTCCTTTTGAAATGCTTGTGCATAGAATTCTTAGTCATTAGTTTTGCTCTACATTTTTTATGTGTATAGGCTGAATTGAATATTTTCCCATAATAAGCCTTTGCATTGTTGTCATGTGCAGTTACTGCGAGTGTTTTGCTGCTGGTGTGTACTGTTCTGAACCTTGCTCATGTCAAGGGTGTCTTAACAAGCCCATACATGAGGAGATTGTTCTTTCCACTCGCAAGCAGATAGAATTCAGGAACCCACTGGCATTTGCTCCAAAAGTGATCCGCATGTCTGATGCTGGTCAGGATATTACTGGGGTAGGCGCTTTTTGCTGGATAGTCTGTACTACTTCTAGCCCTCATTTCCATTTATGTGGTGCTGAAATACTTCAATAAATTGCAGGAAGATCCTAACAACACTCCAGCTTCAGCTCGACATAAGAGAGGATGCAATTGCAAGAAGTCAAGCTGTCTTAAGAAATACTGTGAATGCTATCAGGTACTAAAGATTATCTGAAAACTTGTTTTCAAGACAGTTATCTGAAACTTAGCCTGTAATTTGTTACTTATGGTTTAAATGCTTGATTTAATAAAAGGGAGGCGTTGGATGCTCCAGCAACTGCAGATGTGAGGGTTGCAAAAACACATTTGGCAAAAGAGATGGTGAGTATATAGCATTTCACATTTTCTCAACCATGCCATTCCTGTTCAATTTCTGGAGTTGCACACCATTTTGCCAGAAACAAATTTAATATGCTGCTTTTTCTTGGCATATTTATAATGTACGCGCTGTCCTTCTGTGCTATGAAACTCCATAACAATAGTAGGCTGGCTTTCTCATTATTGTTAGTTGCATGAATGCATATATTTCCATGTTAAATTGAAGCATGCTATTCTGGATAGCATAACTCCAGAAGGAAAAAAAGACCTCAGAAAGCTAATGTTTTACTGTAGTGCAATATCTGCATGAGTTTGTAGGAGGGAAAAAGAAGAAAATTTCACCTTATGTGAGGGAGCTTCCTTTTGCATTTACAACCTTCTGCATTACAAATTTCAAAACGATCAACTTCTTTAACCTCTGGATCTATGTTACAGTTCTTTGTTTTCATCTCGAAGGTCACTCTGATATAGAGTACCTTATGTTATCAACAAGTGCCCCAATGTTTTGAGTTACCTCTGAATTGATTATCCTCTTGGCAGCTGCTGTATCAACTGAGGCTGAAGAAATGAAGCAAGGAGGTGAAGAAGCAGAAAATTGTGGAAAGGAAAAGGAAAACGATCTACAAAAGGCAAATGCACAGAGTGAAGATCACCCATTCCTTGAACTTGTCCCGATAACTCCACCTTTCGATGTTTCAAGGTTTGATGACTATAACTTTTACCAAATTAAACTGGTCTCAGTATTTGTCTGTCTGTACGCCTGCATTCTAATAGCTGTATAATCCTTTTCAGTTCGTTGCTCAAACCACCAAACTTCTCGAGTGCAAAGCCACCAAGGCCTACTAAAGCTCGCTCGAACTCATCTCGTTCATCTTCGAAAGCTCCTGGAGCTGTTCACTCACAGAAGTTCTCCAAGATTGCTAATAGTGGCTTGAATGAAGAAATGCCAGATATATTAAGAGATGATGCTTCTCCTGGTAACTGTGTCAAGACATCTTCACCAAATGGAAAGAGAGTCTCGCCACCTCATAATGCACTCAGTGTTTCACCAAGCCGAAAAGGTGGCCGGAAGCTGATACTGAAATCCATCCCCTCATTTCCATCACTCATTGGAGACGCAAGCAGCGGTTCATCAATGAACAGTTCCGAGAGCGCATTCAACACTGCATCGCCTCTTGCTTTAGGTAAGGCCTGCCTATTTCATATGTACAACATTAGATGGTGTTTGTTTTTGGCAGCATCTTATTCATATGCTTGTCCATGGAATCAACCAGGTCCATCCTAAAAGCTGGCTGCTGATTATGAGCGTCCGGAGTACAACTTGTAGTCCGAGAAAAGTGCCTCACATCTGAAGCACGGCATCAGGTACTGGATGAGGGTAGTTTAAGTTAGAATATTAAGATCTTGTAGCATGTATTTGTAACATATGTTAGTGGCAAATAATCTGTATGTAAGATAGTATGTTGTGATGATGATAATGTTGTCTTGATTGAATTCTATCAACACTGTATAAAATCACCTCTGTGGAGGTTTTTCAACTTCAATTCCATTTTCCCATCACCCATGTTCTTTCAGAAACCCTATTTAGTCACCCTTTTCCCCTGAACAAAAATGGGCACTTAAAATCAGACATGTCATTAATGACTTTGTTCATCCTTGAACAGTGGCTGGGGTTGCTCCTACATCTCTTTCCTGCATGCATGTGCCCTCCTAATCTCTCTCTCATTCATGTAAAGGCAAAGGGATGGTACTGTCAGTTATGTCTTAGAATAGTTTGGAATGGGTGTTGAGATGTCAGGCTCTACACCTCCTTGCTGACCTAGTACTACAACTACCCAAAGTAAACATTACTAGTACATTACATTACTGGCTTTACTGCTGCATGGACCATGTAAAATTATGCTCCAGTTGAGCAAGAGTGGTTGACAAAACAAAGTCTGAATCACTGATAAAGCTGTTCAATTATCATGCCCCAGAATGGAGCTAGAATTTATATATACATGGTAGTAAGTCACCAACTGTCAGATGGTGCTTGAAGCAGATTACATGGCTGTATAACTAACTAACTAACTACAAATGTAGAAGTAATGCAATGTTGTGAAAGAATTTTTGCAAGGTTGCTGATGGGCTCTTGTCACTTGGTGGGGAAGCACACCCTTTGTTCTCCTCCTCCTCTCCTACCTTCTTGCTTCCATTGGGACACTGCATTAGGCCTACCTGCTAAGCTGTCTGCCTAGCATTATTGGACATAACTATAACCCATTCTCACACACACACACACACACACACACACTCTCTCTCTCTCTCTCTCTCTCTCTCTCTATTTCTATACAATGGCTAAGCTTAAACAGGATGCTAACTACCAACCAGGGGGGCAATTGTTTTATGGCAAGTGGTCTCAAGCATAGTGTTTAGTATTAGTAATACTGGTAGTATAGTACATAATGGCAAATGGCTGGCAACTCATGGCCGCATTTTATTGTTCTTTTGTGTAGAGAAAAAAACCATTGCCTTCACGTTTTGTCCAGTTGCTGTGGCCTGTTGATTCCTGCCACTGCCAGTCTGTCTGACCAAAACGTTCCCGCGTTTTCAGATTCAGATGGCAACTGCTCTGTTTTTCTTTCCTCTCCTTTCTATCTCCAAGCTGCCGTGTTCTACTGGGCACACACACACACACACACACACACAAGACATTGTACTACCATGTCCAAAAGCAACTTGGAATGTTGCAAATTTTTTGCATGTTACTGTCTCTTGTTGTGTGCAGGCTTGTGAATTGTGATGTGTGTGTGTACGTGGGGACGTGGATCCTCATGTCTGGGTGGGCCCACATGTCAATGGCTGCTACTGGGCCGGCAGTAATGTAGGAGCAGAAGAATTGTGTAGTGTGACAGTCTGAAAGAGACTGATGAATTGAACATTTGGTATGTGCAGTGTTGCAGGATTGTGTGTGTGAACTGTAATGTGAAGCTGGAGACAGGCTAAGATGATGTGTATGTGGTGTGCATGAAGAGGCTAGCTATAGCTAGCTGCCTCCTGCCTCTTTGCAGCTGGAACCCATGATCAACTACTGATTCAGCCTAATTTAATTGGAATTTAGTTTGGTTTAATTTAATGCAATGCAATTCCACTTTGACCCCATCCTTGTCAGATGAGAGAATTGCATTGATTCTTCTCCCCTGTTCACCATTTGGTACTGTCCCTCAACTGGATTCCTGCTTATTAATACCTTCACTTTGTACTACCTTCTTACACTTTTGCATGATTGGGTTGAACAAGTGAGACTCTTTTATTTTTTCAGTATTTTATTTAAAAAATATATTTTTTGGTTAATTAATTTGGTGGTGGTGGACTGGCGGTGGCTTGATGTATTATGTCTAAATCACTTTCAAGCCAAGGAAGTTAGCAACTAACAAGCACTACTAATGGATTATATTTACCCACTCACTTGACCCAACTAACATAATTAGCAGATACTAATAATCTCCTTCTCATCTACTAATTAACTACTATAGTATATACGAAAATACCCAACAAACAGACAAACAAACAATGATCAGTAAGTCACAAATATACTGTAATGTATCATGTACTCTTCCTACAAATCCCATTATTAATTACCAACCTCTCTGTGAAAAAGAAAAAGAAAACAAAAAAAGAGAAAAAAAATCCAAAGAGAATAAGAAGAAGAAAAAAAATTACAGTGTATATATATACGATGCTTGATTGAGTGATTGACTGATTTTTGTGTGTAGGAATAATTCACCAACGAATTTCACTTCTCGCCGGAGTTGCCGCCGCCGCCGCCGTCGGTTAGTAGTGGCCCGGCGGCGCGAAGCAGCCGTGGGCGTCGCAGTGCACCGGCGGGCGGTGGAGGAAGGCGAGGCACTGGTCGGCCGGGCGCTGGTCGGGCCTCCCGGCGATGCAGTTCTGGCGGTCGTCGACGCGGCGGAGGCGGAGGCACCGCTCCGGCTCGCCGCAGAAGTAGTTGTATGAGTAGGTGAAGTTCCTGAGCCGCGGCAGCGCGCAGATCCCCTCCGGGATGTGGCCGGCGAGCTCGTTGCGCGCGACGTCGAGCTGCTCCAGCGACCGCATCCACGCCATGGACTCCGGCAGCGTCCCCTGCAGCTGGTTGTTGCTGACGTCGAGCACGGTGAGCTCCCCGAGGTGGCCGATCTCCGGCGGGATGCAGGACCGCACGCCGGAGTTGAGCACGACGAGCTCGTTCAGCGTCGCCGCCATCCTCCCGACGCTGGAGGGGATGCAACCCCTCAGCTTGATGTTGGCGAGCACGATGACCGACGCCGGCGAGTTGCCGAGGTTGGCCGGGAGCTCGAAGTCGAAGTGGTTGTCGTTGAGGAAGAGCGCGTCGATCTTCTTGTCGAAGATCGCCGGCGGGACCTCGCCGCAGAAGTTGTTGAAGCGGAGGTCGACGTACTTGACGTTGGGGAGGCAGAGGATGTGGTCCGGGAAGCCGCCGGCGAGGCGGTTGTTGCTGACGTCGAGCTCGTGGAGGAGGGAGAGCTTGGGGAGGGTGTCGGGGAGCGCGCCGGAGAAGCGGTTGGAGTTGAGGTGGAGCACGGCGAGGTCGGTGAGGAGGCCGAGCTCGTCGGGGAGGGTGGCGGCGAGGTCGCCGTGGTTGAGGTCGATGCCGGCGACGGTGGCGGCGCACGGGTCGTCCGGCGCGGCGGCGCAGTAGACGCCGAAGTAGCGGCACACGTCGGGGCCGCACCACCCGCCGGTGAGGTTCTTGGGGTCGTCGGTGACGCGCCGCCGCAGCGCCTGCAGCGCCACGTACGCCCGCTGCAGCCGCGGGTTGTTCTCCGCCGTCTGGCTCGCCGCCGGCGGGCACGCCGAGCACAGCTGCGCCGCCGCCGACAGCAGCAGCAGCAGCAGCGCCGCCGCCGCCGGCAAGGTCGTCGTCGTCGTCGCCGTCGTCATGTGTCTCGCGGTTTTGCTGCTGCGTTGTCGCGTTTGTGTTTTTGTGATTAAGTTTGCGTCCGAATTTGGTTTATATATAGGCGAATCACGAATGCGTCGGACACGCATCGCCTTAGTGTAAACCGCGTCGACCAATATTTTTTATTATTATTTTAATATTTTGTATAATAATAATTATATATTTTTTTTGTTCTTGTTCTTTTGGTTTTTGGTTTTGCAAGGTTGACTAGGGGTTTGGGGTTTTGTTTTGTTTGTATTTTGGGGGGAAGGTTTTATGGCTGTGTTTAGTTTCACGTTAAAATTTGAAGTTTAAAGAAATTAAAACAATATGATAAAAAAGTTGAAAGTTTATGTGTGTAGGGAAATTCGATGTGACGGAAAAGTTGAAAGTTTGAAGAAAAAAGTTGGAATCTAAACATGGCCTATGTTTGGGGAAAATCTTGTGGTTATTTGGTTGAATAATAATGGGTTTTGGTGTTTTATGATTGGTTTTGATTTTGGTGGTTTTACTATTTTAGCATGGTTTGGAGGCTTAAATTGGGGGGGTTGGTTAGTTAGAGGTTCATGTGTGATGGGTTGTGATAATTGACCACATGATGATTACTTGATTAGACATTGGAAGGATATCTGGTGCAAGCAAGCATTCGATTCACTTGAGAAATTCTGTTATTGCCCAATTATATGTGAGGTGCATTTTCTTGTAACTTCCATAAAACCCACATTATTCCTTAAAACTCTCAACTTTTTAGGGTTTAATTTTTCGTGACTCCACTACAAAGCCAAATAAGATTAGGTAAAATTCATACCTAGACTTTGTCTAAAGATAGTTTTAGCCAATGTAAGTGGTGGGACCCACTTGTCAAGCATTACCAAACATGTACATCCTGCTAAACAAGCATAAACAAGGAATGGAATAAGTCCTATACTTCTAGTCAGATATAACCCACTTATAACCAGTTGTCTAAGCTGAGAGCAACTTTATAATATTCTCTAAATTAAAGGAAGATATTAATTCCTGCCTATAATTAGGTTCCCTAATGCATGCAGCTGGCTTAGGCCTAATGATCAACTCAAATCCCAAATGGTATCTCCTCTTTTTTGATTTTGCAATCCAACCAAATGATTACAAGCTCCACTCCACTCCTTTAACAATCCACCAAGCAATGAACTGCTCTCCTTGAATTATCATGCCAAGTAGGTCTCTTTCCCATTTAACTAACCCCCAAAAAGCCAACAAAAGAAAGGGATTAAAGATGATGATAATGATGATGTGTTTGTGCTTGCCAGAAACCCAAAAAAGAAATAGAGAATAATAAGAAGAAAAACACTAGTAGTTGTTCATTCACTCTGTTGGCAGCTTGGCATCTTTCTTTTGGCCTCAAATTCTTTCCTTTGTCTGCTGACCAACAACGCGGTTCTTAGCTCTTGCAGCAACCAACCAAAAAAATTCTCTCTTTCTCTCTCTAAAGCTCACAGCTTGCTTTCTTTCTTTCTATCTCTGAATTAAGCTCTGAACTTTCTCAAATTTCTCTTTCTGAATCAAGGTGAGTCCGAATTATTCTGAAATTGTGGCGCTTTCATGGATGCTTCTTTGGGGGGTAGTTTGAATAGTATAAAGGTGGCGGCAGTGGCTTTCTTGAGCACTGTGGGTCGTCTGTTTGAGATTCTTTTAGGCCTTGCTTTTGGGGCCTGTGCTGTTCAATCTGCCATGAATCAAAACATGGGCGGCTTCTGCTACGGCTCTATGATGTTCTGAATTCCACTGTGAAATCTTCAGAATGTAGTACAGCTTGTATTTCAGTGACCGACAGTTAGGCCCGGTGCAGTTCTCAAAACAACAAATTTTACGCTGTCATATCAAATATTTGGACACATACATAAAGTATTAAATGTAAGAGAAAAAAAACAATTACACGGATTACGTGTAAATTGCGAGACAAATCTTTAAAGCCTAATTGTGCCATGATTTGATAATGTGGTGCTACAGTAAACATTTGCTAATGACAGATTAATTAGGCTTAATAAATTCTTCTAGCACTTTTCTGGTGGAATATGTAATTTGTTTTGTTATTAGACTACGTTTAATACTTCAAATGTGTTTTCGTATATCCGATAACAACTAAACCAAAATTTTTTTCCCAACTAAACAAGGCCTCCTAAACCTCTGATCTTCTTGTTTTTGTTACTCCCTCTATCTCAATATAAATACAACCTATTACAGATGTGATATATCCTATAACTACGAATCTGCACAATTATATATCCAGATTTGTAGTTCTAGAATATATTAAATCACTAAGGACATATATATAAAAGTTTTATTCATAAATTAATAAATTAATTTATTGTTACTTATAAGCAGTACGTCTTATAATCAACATACGGCCAATCGACAGGGCTCAAAATGTTCTCATAGCAACTAAATACTCATAACTAATATACGTAGACATCTTCATGTTTCTTTTTAAGAAATGGAAGAACGGATTAACACAAAATGTTACCCGAGTGCCTAAACAGTATGATTTTCGCAATGACTTTCTACATATGAATTTACTAAAGAAACTAATTTATATCTTTTTTTAACTTTATAATAGGTAATTTATTTGCTTGTATCCTTGAATAGTGATCGTAAAATTATTCAGCTATCCGGACATTCAACTATTCGAAAAAAGGCCCTTAATGAATATATATGTAAACTTGAACCTACAATTACCCACACACAAAAAAAGAGAAGAACCTTGAGCGTACAATACAAGCGGACTATACGGTAGGACAAACCAAAATTGAGGATATCCGGCACAATTCACTCCTCATATTCGGGTGTGTTTATTTCATGTCAAAATTAGAAATTTGATTGAAATTGGAACGATGTGACAGAAAAGTTAGAAGTTTGTGTGTGTAGAAAAGTTTTGATGTGATAGAAAAATTGAAAGTTTGAAGAAAAAGTTAGGAACTAAACCAAGCCTTTATCGAAAAAAAAACCACACCACACACCCCACACATTATCCTCTTGGGAAGTCCAATTAAAGCTCTCTTCACTTGACTTGCAAACCTGCACACGTTACATGTGATGTGAGCATTCATTCATTCATGCAGCTGGAGCAAGATGAAGAGAAGAAGCTACTAATTGGCTTCTGAATTCTGAAATGTGCTTGACAGTTGATGACCAAACGAAGCACTGAAACCGCGTTGGTTTGATCACGTCAAGACCTGCACAAACACATTTCATCTCGTCTCTCATCTCTCATCTGCTCCTTTCAGAGCTAGCTGTCACCCACATCTGAATTCAGAATTCAGATCGATCAGGTCAGTTAAGCTAGCCGCCGCCGTTCCTGCTTGACCAGCAACTGAAAATCATATTAAAAATGTTTACTTGACTAATTAAGCTGAGAGAGAGAGAGAGAGAGAGGGGGGGGGGGGGGGGTAGGAGTGAGCTCATGTATTTCAGCTGCTGCCTTTGGATGCATATATGATGTAGGATGTGTGAATTTGCATTATGTTATTATCATCATGGAGGTGGCTGTCAGATGCTGTGAGCCTGCTAATTGAGATTAAATTGGTGTAGTGGGTGAAATGTATGTGTCAGAGATTTCCTTCCCATGGGTGGTAGTTGATCCCTTCATGGTTATTTTTAAAATGCCTGGTCAAATTTCTTTTGACAAATTCCGATATTGAAATTAAAAAAAGGTTGCACAAAGTATAAATCAACCCGGCCTCTACTAGGAATATATGATTCTCAAAATAATTTCATAAAAATCTCGAATGCATATAGATTAAATATATTAATTCTTTTGCCGTCCAAATCTAAGAAAATTCATACTCTGTTCCCATTTACTCGATAGTATTGATTGACGCTATTTTAACTTTCATCATCACCAATAACTTTTACAATGCTATATTTTGGTAATTAACCAAAAAGAAATGTGTCGTATATTTAACTTGCAACAAACTTCGGTACTATGATATATTTTCAAATATTTTTTATGAATTTGTTGCTAAAATAGGAACGGTCAAGGTTTTAACTATGGATAGTGCATAGCTAGTGAGAAGTACTCTCTGTTCTTAAGAGTGTCCTCCCCAGCTTCATAGAAGTTTAGTTCCTTCAAACTTTTAACTTTTCCATCACATTAAATATTTGGACACATGTATGGAGCATTAAATATGGACGAAAAAAACCAATTGCATAGTTTGCATATAAATTGTGAGACAAATCTTTTGAGCCTAATTACGCCATGATTTGACAAGGTGTTGCTATAGTAAACATTTGCTAATGACGGATTAATTAGGCTTAATAGATTCATCTCGCAGTTTACAGGCGGAATCTGTAATTTATTTTATTAATAGTCAACGTTTAATATTTCAAATGTGTGTCCGTATACTTCAAATTTTTTTTTGAAATGGAACTAAATACGGCTATAGCTAAAAACAGGGCCAGAACAGAAGTAGGGTAGCTAGGGTGAGAGCTCTACTCCTGATCCTAAGGGCCTCACTTTTTCTTACACTTAATACTTATCAACCAAAATTTGAATTTTTAACCTTTAATTGGGAGCTGAATTTAGGGTGTTTTCATCGAAGTTTATTTTTTAGTCTTTGCTTTTGGACCGTTAAAAACATGTATATAAAAGTTTTATTCACAATTTACTTTTTATTTGCAAATATGCCGTTTGATTTATTCCACGAATAAACGATACAATGGTGCCGTAAATACCCATTGAAATACACTCTAAATTTTTTGTACAAATAGAAAAAAAAAGATAAACATATGTATTGTAATCACATTAATTGAGCTCTAGACTAAATTCTTGATTCCGTCGCTAACTAAAAATGATATTCTTTTATGACGGAGGGAGTAACAAACATAATTTCCTGCTGGTTCAGCCTCTTCCTCAGCTAAGGATACACAGGCTCCCATCGGTTGCCCATTTAGCCCAAAATAGCTTATTTGGCTTATTAGAAAATTAAAATTAATTTATAAGTAAAACTTTTGTAGATTTGTTCGTAGCGACTTAAAAGCCAACATTAACAAAAGTTACGTTAAAAGTATTTCAAAATCAA